GTATAAAGAACTAATACCACCTAATAATAATAAGATAAACAACCCAATGTATTAAAAAGGGCATAGACTGTTTCACAAAAGTAGCTGTGTGAATGACCAATAAGCACGCAAGACAGTGCTCACCATCATCAGTCACCAGGGAAAAGGACTTAACCGGTGAGCTGCACATCAGCAAGTGAGTTGCAGGGGCTGGGGCCGGGGGTGGGGGGGGATGCAGCGTAGCGTAGTAAGTGCAAACTCTGGAGTCAGTCCTACCTGGATTCAAATCCCGGTTCTGACGTTTCTGTGCATGGGACCTTGGGCAAGGTACTGGACTTTGCTAAGCCTCAGTTTCCTCATCTCTTAAAAAACAGCTGAGGTGGCATAATCACGGTGCCTACAAATGGTGTGAATTAAATACGTACTTCCAGTGCCTGGCACACAGTAATCGTTCATTAAGTGCTAGATGCTATCGTTGCCATTGCCGCTGTTAACTAACTATTCCAGCAGCGACAGGAATAGGAGTAAAGCCCACTACAGCTGGAACCCCTAGAGGCCTTGCTTGTCCTCCAGGGCCAGCCGGCTGTGCGCACGGGGGAAGTGCTGGCAGCGGCCAGTGCTGCTCTAGCCTCCTCTACAGCAAGGCCAGCCTACTTCATACTCTCTCGCTCGCCTGGGAGGAGCCAGACCAGAATACCTAAGGAGAAGGGCCGGCTGGCAGGGATCCAGATAGGCTGTGAGGGCCATGCCAGCCCGGCACCTGCGCTTCAGGTGCCCAGACAGTGCTAGCAAAGAGAAGGAGCTCCTGGAAACAGAAGACCCTTGGCTAACCCCTGCTCTGCCCTCCTTTCTCCCTCTCTCCCTATGAATGCAGGTGATCTTCCGAAACGAGGTGACCTATGAGTTCTTGTACTACACGGTGAGTTTCAGGGTCCTCCCTTCAGGCATCATCAAAACCATCGAGATGGTGACCCCAGTCCGGCAGAGCGCGTCAGCCTCCATCAGGATGGAGAACCCCCTGCCCTACTCGGTGACCTTCTCCACGGAGTGCAGGCTGCCGGACATGAGCCTGCCCTCCCAGTTCGCGGTGCCTGCCAACTCCGAGGTACGGCCCTGGCTGCCAGGGTTCCCCTGACAGCTGTGATAGAGGCTTCTGCCCATAGGGCCTCTGAATACACGTTCCCAGTGGGGGCCGGCCCTGGCGGTGGTCAGGAAGGCAGGGGACAATCACCCTCATGTTCCTTTCCTTGTTGCTGAAGTCCTCACGTGAACTAGGGGCACGTAGCTTTGGTTTGGACAGGTAAAATGGGCTTCTTTAGTATGAACCTAGTCTCTACCATTTGTGTGCTTTCTTCAAGCCAAAGATAATTTTTCTTTTTCTTTGCTAATTATAAAAGCATAGAATATAATATGTGTGGTGAAAAGGAAAGCCTGGTATATAATAGCATATCAAGTGTACCTCGTTTCTCTCTCTCTCTCTCTCTGCAGCAGAGGCTGTGACCCCTCGTTATTGTGATCCCCAAGGATCAGCAGGAGCCTGGACCCTCCTCTAATCCTCCATGGGGAGGGCTGTGTGGCCCCAGTTCTCGTGGGTCCCCCATCTCCAACCTCCACCCCAACTCTTGAGGTGGCCCTGGGCACCCGGGGCCACTCTGCTCTCCCTTCAGTCCTGGGAAGGACCGAGGGCAGCTGCCACCTGCTCCCCTGGGGCTGGGGTCGACGGTGCCACCTCAAACCCAAGGATCCCCTAGTGTGCCCCAAGGGGACACCCTCCCCTCGGCTCCCTGGAGTTTGGGGGTGCAGCCGGCCACTTTTACATCTCCGCTGCTGGTCACACAGACCAGTCCTGGTACAAGGTGGGAGAGGACTGCAGGGGGCTGCAAATACTCAGAAGTGGGGACTATTTGGCTGCTTTGAGCCTGTGCATCATAGGGAGAATTCAAATCTTCACAATATCAAGATTTCCAATCTGTGCGCAAATCTCTACTAATTTAAGTCTTATTAGATTTCTCTCAAAAATGTTTTGTGGTTTTTCTATGCAGAGACTTTCCTCATCTTTTGTTAGACTTATTCCTAGGTTTTGCATATTTTGATGCTAATGTCAATGGTATCTTTTTAAAATTTCATCTTCTGTTTCTTGCGAGCATCTAGAAATATAATTGACTTTTGTATATTGACTTTATACAAACTGTCTTCTAAAATTCACTGTCTTCTAAAATTCACTTATTAAGAAGAGAAGTTTAATTCACTTAAGAAGTTTAATTCTACAGATTCTTAAATTTTCTACATTTGCAATCATATCATCGGTAAATAATCACAATTTTGTTTCTTCCTTTTTGAACGTTTTCCTTTAATTTCCTTTTGTGCCTTATAGCACTATATAGCACCTCAAGAACAATGTCAAATATAATAGAACAGTGCTAGAGAGTATCCTCCTCTCATTCCTGATCTTGAAAGAAAAGCGTTGAGAGTTTCACCATTTGTTATGTTATTTGTTTTAAAGTTCTTATAGAGACACTTTATCAGTTAAGGATGTCTGTCCCCTTCTATTCTTAGATTGCTAAGAGCTTTTTTAAAAATACCCTAAATAGATGTTGAGTTTTATCAAATACTTCTTCCACATCTGCTGAGATGCTAATAGGATTGTTCTCCTTTCGATCTGCCTCTATGTGGCAATTGGTTGCTTTTTTTTCTAATGTTAAACCAACTTTACATTCATGGAATAAACCCAACTTAGTCATGTAATATTCTCTTTTTTATATATTGCTGGATTCAGGTAGATAATATTTTTATTAGATATTTTGTACCTGTGTTCAGGAGGGAGACTGCATCCAATTTTTCTTTCTTCTATTATTGTTGAATTTTGTTATCAAATCTGTGCTGGCTGCAGTAGGTTCCCTCTTTGACTTTTCTCTGGAAGCATTTGTGGAATGCTAGAATTCTTTCATCCTTGATTGTCTGATATAACCCACAAGTAAAGCTTTATGATCCTGGAATTTCCTTAAGGGAAATTTTCTGACTATTGATTAATTTGTTTAATGTCTATAGGACTATGTAGGTTTGCTATTATCTTCTTGGGTCTGTTTTTATAAGTCATATTTGTTTAAATATTTGTCCATTTCATCCAAGTTTTTTAATTGTAAAATCATCCAAATTTTTGTACTATATTCTTTTCTGTTAAACATCTATAACTCAGTGACATCCTCTTTTTATTCTGATATTTTTCAACAAGAAGAACTAGTTATTTTTTTAAAAACCTACTCATATTAAAACAAAATTTTTACTATATAAAAGTATATGAGATAGAAAATCAAAGTCCCCACAGTCCCATTTTCCCCACTCTAACATAACTGCTGATAACAATTTGGTATATATTCTTACAATCTCTTTTCTATACTAGCATAGACTTAACTCTTCTCCACAAGAATGAGCTCATACTTTATATACATTTCTGGAACCTCCTTTCTTCCACTTACAGTATCATCAACACCTTTCATTTCAATGCTTATTGCTCTACCTGATACTTTTAATATCTACATAATATTCCACTGAAATGAGAAAACTATAGTTTATTTGACCAATCTTCCACTTGAATGCACTTGAATTATTTCCCTTGCTTTGCTGTTACAAGCAATGCTCTTTCTTGCTTTGTTTCACTATGGGTAGCAACAGAAGGAGGAGAAAGCCTCCCCCAAGAGATGGCAGAACCCAGGAAGCTTGACCTTCTGGCCTCCTGCTGGCACCACCAGCCCATCTCCAGAAGTGTGCTTCTCAGGAGAGGACCCAAGAGCTATTTTTAGACTCACAGAGATCTCAGATATAGAAATATCTAGACTAGAGAAAACTAGAAGAGGTACAGGGGAAGGAAAGTGGGCTGGTTTGGACAGAGGATCCCCAGGCTTGAGATCAATGTGGGCATTTGCTTGTGAAGCAGGTGACGGGTCAGACCTTCAGCATGACAGTGGCCTCTGTCTTCTCTTTCAGGGCACATTCACATTTGAATTCCAGCCCCTGAAAGCTGGAGAAACCTTTGGGAAACTTACTTTGCACAACAGTGATCTGGGTTACTACCAATATGAGCTCAGTTTGAAGGCCTTGCCAGCACCTCCTGAAAAGCCTGTCTACTTCCAGACTGTTCTCGGCAGCAACCAAAGCATCTACACAAAGTTCACCAATTATACTCGGCAGAAGACAGAATACTACTGCAGGGTGAGTACCTGCTCCTCCCTCTGCCCATCCCTTGCCAGATCTCTGGGTTCAAAAACAATGGGAGGAGGACACAGAGGCTGCAGAAATGTGCAACTCAGAGAGAGTTGGTGCATCATTGTCATGGTGACCCCCGCCTTGGAGGCCTGAATCCAGCCTGGGAAACTCCCAGCTGGAAACAAATAGTAGCAGGCCTGGGTTCCTCCTTTACAGAGTTTCTATCTTAACAAGCTAGGGGCGGGGCAAGGGGAGCTTTGCTTCTAACAGCACACTCAGTGGTCCACGGAGGGAGACAGCATGGCTTAGTGGCCCTGAGGACAGGTTGTGGAATCAAACACACAGGGGTCTGATTCCTGGCTTCCCCACGTACTCTCTTTATGAATCATTTATTCAAGCTCTCTAAGTTTCTCTATAAGTGAAGATAATATCTCCAACCTTACAGCATTGCTGTGAGAATTTTTAAACATGAATATAAAGCCATTTTCTTAGAGCCTGGCTCCCAATACATTAACTATCATATCGGTTGGAATAGAGGTTTAACTACTGAAACAGCAACCCAAAATCATAGCAAAATAGTTTATTCCTCTGACACATACCAGTCTGGGCATAGGCAGTGTGAGTAGATTGGCAGCTCCATGACATCTGGCACCCAGACACCTTCTGTGCCGATGCTCTGCTCTCTGTGGGGAGTCGCTGTGGTCCATGTTGGCCACGATGGCCTGCCGTGACATCCACACCCCAGCCAGCTACACGAGGCATTGCATACACCACGCCCACGACTATTCCACTGAACGAAACTTCACAGGCCCACACCTATCAACAAGGGGAGCTGGGAAATGTAGCCTTTATACTGGGTGGCCGTGCGCCCCACTAAAATCGGGGTCTCAGGACATGGTCAAGAGGCAGAAGCTCTCAATCAATCGTATCGGTCGGGGGGGTTAAAGTTATGATGTAGGAACTTCCCGATACCCCAGTGGCTTGAAACGAACAAAGGCTCATTTCTCATATGTGCCATCGGAATAGTGACGGTCCACAGGGCACTCTGCTCATCTGGGTCACTCAGGGTCCAGGCTCAAGAGCAAACACCACCTCAAATGTCCCCAGTCACAGAAGCAGAGAGGAGAAACGACGTGCTCTAGTGTGGAAGTGACACCTTTCACTTCTGCTCAGCGCAGTTGTCCAGAACCAGCCCCGCCCATCCACAAGGAGCCAGAACATTCAGCCTTCCGTGTGCATGGAAGGAGAGAAGAACCAGAGATTCGGGGCGGCCTCGGTGACTGCCTTATCAATGTAATCCAGCTGTGTCTTAGGGCACGTCATTAACATCTTTGCCTCCATTTCTTTGTAGTAAAGTAGGGATAATAATTAGTAACACCTGCCCTGCAAGGGCCCTATAACCTGCCCAGCCCATGCCAGGAGTGGGGCCAGCGGGGACTTGAGCTCTGAGATCCTACGTGAGCCGAGTCCATTTGTTCCCCTTTCAGACCGACTGCCCGGACTTCCACACGGAAAGGGTCATTAACGCAGCCCCAGGAGCCCAGGGAGGCACCGAGGTCAGCGTGGAGGTCTTCTTTGAGCCCAGCCACCTGGGCGAGACCAAGGGCATCCTGAGCCTGTCGTCGCTTGCAGGTGGGGAGTATGTCATCCCCCTCTTCGGAGTGGCTCTGCCCCCCAAGCCCCAGGGTCCCTTCCTGATCCGAGCCGGGTACAACATAATCATCCCCTTCAAGAACGTCTTCCCCCACGTGGTGACCTTCTCCATCATCGTGGAGAACCCGGCCTTCACCGTCCGCGCCACAGACACCGTGCGGGCCAAGAAGATCAACAACATCACTGTCTACTTTGAAGGAAACCCCTCCGGCAGCAAAACCCCCATCACCACCAAGCTGATTGTGAGCTGCCGCCCCGGGGAGGGCTGTGAGAGCGGAATTAAATGGGTTTATTACCTCAAGGGGATCACCCCTTAGTGGTAACAGGGTCACCTGCGTCAGCCAAAAGCCGTCTCCTCGGCCCTGAGACCTACGCATCATCTTAGCCTGACAAAGAACAGAGAAAAAAATAAGAATTCTAAAGGGACTGTTTTATCCTCCTCATTCAATTATTTCCACGTCGTGTGGTTTCCAAATATAGATATGAAATATCTGTTCCATATTAACCATTACAGCTACACACAACAGATCTATATTTTAGAGAACTGAATCCTTGTGAGTCCCTAAATTTAATTTCTTGACTTATCCGCGAAGCTTAAGTACTTTTTAATAATCCGCATTTTTACCAAGCAGACATAGGTATCACACTTGTGACCTTCTACCAGACAGCTCCTAGCCGTGTGCGACACTGGGCTCTGCAGCTGCTTTTGAAAGTCCATAATGATTTAACAAGCCCTTAGACATGGCCCTATTTTGATGTGGCATCTTATCCGGCTTTCACACAAAAGCCAAGTAAGTACCTATTTTCAAAGCAACGTACAAATAACATTAAGGCCACCCAGGGATGCTCCCATCACTTTTTCTCTCGGCTTTTACTCCGTCAGTCTCCGAATCCCTGGAGAAAGGCTAACAGAGACCATAGCTGCCCCTGGCCTCCCCAGCCCTGGGCACAGCAGGCAGATGGACAGTAATTCTCGACCTATCTGCCCAGAACCCATCCCCTCCCCAAATTCTGATTTAATTGGTCTGGAGAGGGGCATGGTCATCTTTATATATATAACTTGTACAGCGGAGCTGAGAACAAGTGCTAGAGACCAAACACCCACCCAGCTACTCGTGCTGCAACTGAGTCAGGAAGGACCATGCCCTAGTTTGACATGTTGGAACTGCACCTATTCCGTGTGTCCCTAAAGCACGACTATCTAAGCCATGACTTTCTTGAGCTTCCCCTCCAGGGGGCAGTGGGGCACCTCCGCAGACGCCTCTTCCCCGGCCTTGCAGTGTGTGTTCACAGGCCCACTTCCCTGTCAGCGCCTCCTGTTGAAATAAAGATGGTTAAAGACTGGCCCTGGAGTGGATTTGTTCCTGTAGACCTATGGCTGAGGGGCCCTGCCTCCACCTCCCCCCACCCCCATCCCCTTCGGCCCACCTGCAGGAGAGGGAGGAGGCATGAAAGAAGATGGCCACTCAGGAAGGAACGCTGTAAGGGAGTGGGCCTCAAAAATGGTTCCTGGACCAGCAGCACCTGGTGAGTTATTAAAATCCAAATTCTCCGTCCCCACCGCAGACCTCCTGAGTCAGAAACTCTGTGGGTGTGGCCCAGCAATGTGTCCGTTACTAAGCCCTTAAACCTACTAGAGGTGTTTTTATGGATGGAAACTCTTTCCACATCTTTTGTATCTCTCACAACCCTCAGCCCAATACACCCGACCCACAGCGAGTACTAAATGAAGCTTTTTCTAGAATGTTTGTAAACTCAGACCTATAAAGTAATCCACTGTTATCCTTGGGGGTTATGTTCCAGGACCCCCAGTAGATGCCTGACACCACAGATAGTATTGAACCCTGTATATGCTATGTTTTTTCGTATACATACATACCTATCATAAAGTTTAATTTATAAATTGGGCACAGAAAGGTTAATGATGATAACTAATAATAAAATAGAACGATTATATGCCAGCATCACTACTTTTGTGATTTGGGGCCATTATTAAGTAAAATAAGGTTCCTTGGACACATGCATGCGGTCCCATGGCAGTTGTCTGGTGACCGAGATGGCTACTCTGATTACCAGGAAGGTAATGTGTACAGCACAGATATACTAGACAATGGTGGTTCATGTCCTGGGCAGGGTGAAGTGGGATGGTGTGAGATTTCTTGACGTTACTCAGACGGTCTGCAATTTAACTTATGACTTATTTCTGGAATTTTTCATTTAATATGTTCATCCCACAGTTGAACAAGGGTAGCTGAAGCCATGGATACAAGAGAACTATAGTACTTCACAGACAACTCATTTTTGAAACCTAAACTAAAGACAACAGTAACAGGTATAAAAACAAAGAACTGGGTGATAGGTGTTCCCAGTGGCTAAGTGAGCAAAGACTGCTCTAACCAACCATCTGCAAGGATGCTAAGACCAAGGAGCAACGGTAATGACCAGCAAACACACAGTCCGTGTAAAAGTCAGTGGTTCGCACATTTTAGTGTATGTCAGGATCCCCTGGAGGGCTTGCTGAAACACTGATCGCCGGGCCCCACCCTCAGAGAGTCTGATTTAGAAGGTTTGGGTGGGGCTCAAGAATTTGCGTTTCTAACCCATTCCTGGTGATGCTGTTGCTGCCGTTTGTAGGGTCAGACTGGGAGAACCACTGGCGCTAAAGCCCCAGCAGCAGCAGGGCAGGACCTCAGGCCCCACCCCAGACCTGGTGAATCAGAGTCTGCGTTTTAGCAGCCCTCCAGGTGGAGGGCTGGGACCAAAGCCCAGCTCAGATCCTGTCCCAGCATGAACCCCCCCTTCCAGGCTGACTTGAGATCGGGTGCATTTCTTCCCTTTTGGTAGTTCCCATGCTTCCTTGGCCTCAAAAGACCATAACAAAATAGTCTCATACTGGCAAATTTGGAATGGCAAAGTAGCTCACCAGGGGGCTGGGTGATGATAAGCCTTCTGACACAACCTTGTGGAAGTTACATTTGAAAGAGTCCATTCTCAGCAAAGCAGACCAGGAGACCTCTAACTGGGCATGTTCAGGGTGGCTTTGTGGCAGAACTCCAGGGAACACTGTGCACAGAATACCATGAGAATGGGGCTTCTGGCCTCGGTGAACGTGTCATGCTAAGTCTAACCACTTCTCTGGGGGCCTCAAGCCAGAGATGACAATATTATGACATGAGTGAGGGCCTGCCAAATCTCAAGAAAATCCCAACTGTGAGTATCCCCAAGCCTCTTATACCTTCAACCATGTTGCCATGAAACTCCAGCTAAAACTACATTGCTGTTGGAGAAACTTCTTTGCACAGTTCAAGATTTGGGTACAATTTCTTAAAATGCCACCAGCATCCTCTTGCTATGAGTTATGCACTAACTTTTACATAACTTGCAATAGCTATTATTAATAGTTGTTACAGAGCTACTCCAAGTTCTGT